CACTTTTTTTTTTTTTAGCATGGGACCAAATCTTTCTCCCCCATCACTTACACTGGTGTATTTGGATGGGATCTCTTAATGGTCAGCATGAACAGGAGGAATGACCACAGCAAGCAAAACCTTTTTCAATGTTTATATGGGCACCTGACTATTGGTTTCAGATAGACATAGTTTATTTGTAAAATATCCGCCCAGCAGGTTGAAAGGTCAAGCTACAAGGCAAAAGCCAATAGTAGCAAGTCTTCCATCACAAATTTTTTTTTAAAACAAATTCCTATTTAGGAAGTAGAGCAGCATTGTTTCCCTTCACCTAGGACGAGCCATGTTTGTTCTCATTTCAGCCAGCCAAATCTACCTAACTACCACAATGAGATCCAATCACAGTGTGGGCAGAACTGAGGAAATGAGAACACTTACTAATGCCAGGAGTAAATGCAAAGGCCCGTGGATCGAATGTTATAATACATTATCCAGATACAGATCAAATGTTAATACCAGGTTTTCCACAAGCAATGTTTGTCTCCTGCTCACCTAATGCTGATAAAAAAAGAGCAAAAAGAGACTAAATGTTAAATATTGTAATGTTATCTGGTAATTCTATCAACCTGTCACTGGATCTGAAACAGAGAGACAGCCAGACTGCTAAGTCTTTGTGCTAAGCTAAGCTAAGCTAATCACCTGCTGGCTGTAGCTTCATTACTCGACATACATTGGTGGTATCAATCTTTGATCTGACTCTCGTCAAGAAAAGGAATGCTTGTATTATCCAAAAATGTCAAAAAGCAGCAGCAACGTCCCCCACTGTTGTCTGCTGATCTTTTTTCAAATATACTGCCCCCACTGTTCATGTGCTTAACTGAATCTAACTAATGCTCTGAAGGAGCATAGGATACACAGGGTACCATGTGAGCACCTATTAAAAGCTAATATATCTCTAGCCATTAGCCTCTAGACCAGTGGTGCAATCTCTGGGTCGGGACCCCCAAAGCTTCACAGGGGGTCAAAGGCCTTCTTGAATTTAAGGTGTGTAAGAAAACTTGAAAAATATACACAGTTGGCCTGTATCTCAGAATTGTGTTTATTTTTCTGAAAACTAAATTAAATGAATATTATAGTTTTAGTTTGATTACTCATTAAGATCTAAACTTTGAAGACATGAACATTAATGAACAGCCTCGTCCTGTTCAAACCAAAGAGCTAATAGAACATAAATAAAACACTGGATCTGTCAAAAAAGAAGCCTATTAAGTATGTATGAGAGTTAGAAAACTCATCTCTGATTAATATTCACAGGAAATAATCTCCTCAAAATTCATAGAAATATCTCATTTTACATAAACTTCCTGCAGTTATTGTGTTCACTATATGGGTTCATTGTACAGTTTATCAGTTATTCTGTACTCTTATTGTTATGCAATGAATGTTAACAAATAACATATAAATGCAATATATGAAATATCCACAAAATAAGTCACATAGTCAGGGGTTGTCAGTTTACACAAGGATAAAAAAGGGGGCCCTAACCCTAACCCTCATTTACTGCATGGGAGACATCTCCAGTAAGTCCCAGAGAAAAGCTCTATTACAATAAAGCAAAAGTCCCAACTTTGTGTTGCTTATTAGAGTTTGTTTTTGAGGGTGGAATGGGATCATTGTTGGCCCTTGTGGCCATTGCGGGGGAAAAGAACCACTACAAATGTGGTTCTTACCAACCAGTGGGTGTTTCCAGCCCTTCAGCCTCAGGGGACAGCAATGAGCCCATTGTGGCATGGCACATTACAAGGAGGCAAGGAAGACGCAGCACCCGAAACTTACTTTAACAAGCCACCCTAACTAATCCTGAAGGTGTTCCTGCCTCGGTAGGTGCTGTTGAGTGAACCTGTGAAATAAAGTAGAGGACCAGATATGCATGTTGCTGTCTATGCCTGCCAAAGCCTCTCCATTGTTCCATGGCATCTGTGGCGCATACTGTATCATGTGTTATATTTAGTTTTATATTTCATGGTGCCAAAGTAATAGCTCACAGGCGAACCTCAGTAGCATTGCCAGTCTCCTTCCTCTCTGCCTCCTTTCATCTATCATTCTGAGCACCTCAGTGTTTACGGCAAAGTAGCACTGAAGTTGCATCATTTGTGATCAGTCTCCTTCCCTGCAAACTCTGTTGGGTCATCTCGCAGTACTCCCACTCAGGGAATAGTGATTTTTGGTTTCTGCTCTGAGGCTGGCAGACACTCATCTCTCTCTATTTCCTTTTGAAAACACACATACACTTGTCCCTCTTATCCCAGCCAATCACCCACGTGCCTCATGTGGCTGCAAAGGTGATCACAGGAAATGTAAGCACAGGATGACACCCATCTGTGACCTGAGTTTTGAATAAAATCCTGCTTTTTTTTTGCTGACTGTATTCCCACTTCATTCCCCCGAAAACAGCTTGAAGCAGTGCTGGCACAGCACTAACACAAAGCGAGTAGAAAGGTGTAGTGTGAGTAGACTGAGGGTGAAAATGATGTAGTCAAAGTCCAGCAGCGCTCACTGATGTGATGAGCCCACTGTCAGTCTCAGATTTCCCAGAAGGCCTGTCACACCCTACACACACACTGCCTCAATTGGAAACATTTCAGTCTCATTCTAAAATGGGAAATGTGCCATTGAAATGAAAGTAGAAGTCCAAATTAAACTCAGTTAATTTCAAAGTAATTATAAATAAATGATCCTGGTCCTTTTATACGCAGAGGCACAGAGAGGGAGATCAGACGCAGTGTCTCAGCAACATCATCACCTTCGCTCAAGTTAATTAATTACATGTGACAATAGAAGAGTAGAGGTGTATGCAGTGTCCCTCATCTACATCATCTCCAAACTAATTCACCAATGCACAGCTCGATGCCAACCCTTGAAAGGCAGGGTTTACCGGATGATTCTGCAAAATCCTGCATTAAAATAATTCCCTTCTACAGAGTCTACAAATGTGCATGGCATATACAGTATGATAGGGAAAGGTTGTGGTTATGTTTTTTTTTTTGTAATGGGACATACACTCCAGTCTGCTGCATGGACGTCTACCCACCCATGCACCACCCTGACCTCCACACCGCCGCCTGAACTGGCACAGAGCATTGACATAAAACATAAATCATTCAACATTTGTCCTATGTGAATGAAATTTTTAGGGGTACTGAGCTGCTTTTGGAGTGTTGAACCAACACACCAACACGGGAAGCAGTAATGCACAGTAAAGCCTTAATTACATCACAGTTATAATCCGTAAGATTTCCATTATAAGCTCCATTGCTGATGCTATTTATGGTCACCATTTTTCCATCACTACCCATTTAGCATATTTTAATTTAGTCATGACCTTTCTAAGTACGTGTAGCAGCTTCCATTGTCCCTTCACACGGGGATATACAGGAAACAATGCATAACATTTCCTACTGTACTGCTTCACATTAAAGTGTTCAGCCAGCGGACCAAGGGGTGGTTTTTATTGTGAAACATCCACAGGAAATGCAATGTATTTGTCAGGTGGTCAGTGGTAGTTCTTACCACTGCTATGAACACTGTGTCCCAAATATATACCAGTAATAGTAATTTTATATCGTAAGTACTAATCACATTATACTGTTTTAGTATACGAGAAAATCTACATATTTAATCACTGTATATAGTGAGCAGCAGTGACATTACACTAACAGGAAATAATACAGTACAGTCAACGTCAGACGCCCATCAAACTGCAACTTTAGAATGTCACTGTAACTTACCCTTCACAGATAGAAAATTTTTTTCTCAAGATTACTTTTTTTTGTTTTACAAGATCTTCCACTGTTTCACACAACCATCCACAATTTATTTATTATTGATAGCAGTGAACAGTGTAGTGGGAAAAAGCATTCAGGGATAAGGTTCTGTGGACATGAAGCAAACTATATTATGTTGTGTTATTCCATGTTTAATTTTACAGGCTTACAGTTTAATATTTTATGTTCATGTATGTTCATCCTCATGTATTCACATTCTGGTTGTCTCACACTAGTTAGGAGAGTTGTTATTCATTGTGCCATGAGCTAATTACATTCCAAAGACCAAGGCTGTCTCGGGGAGAGTTGGGCATCAGATGTGTTATGACTACTGTTTATCAGACATTAGACGTCACCAACAGACATCCTCGAAGGGAAAGAGGCCACATTCTTGTAGAAAGAGACATATAATTGAGTGAATTTATTTGTTCTGGTTAGTTGATTCTCGAGACAACTCTGTTTGCTTGTATTCTGTTTGGATGCAAATAAATCTTGCACGTGTCACCATTCTGGGTTTCTACAGTGGGAGTTTGTGGTCAAAGAAAAATTAAACCACAACAGCAACAATTAAACCACAACAGCAAAATGTTGAGGCGCTTTTTCCACATGAACTCCGAACAATGAACCCTTTCACACATGTAGCACACAACAGGAGATCCGTGTCCATGTCAGACACGTTTTCACCTTTTCAAAGTACTCCAGTAGGTCGGCGAGGGGTGGTGACTGGGTAGAGCATGCAGGAGGAACAACATGACGCAAAAAAGTATGCTGTGGAAATCACAGTGTTTTGTTTGCAGCACCTCACTGGTTTTGCACTAGTCACATGATAGAAACGTCATCAACTCGCTCACTTGCTTGGACAATGACCTGCTCTGTTCACACATGGACTCAACCGGACATTATACAGATTTTGTATTACGGAGCTGACAGGGTAAAATCCTGTCCAACTGATTCAAATGTTTGCATTCTGAAATACAGCTCTGCTGGGTAATGTCAAGATAAGTTCAGGGTTGCTGTGCATGTATGAAAGGAACTCTGAGTGTGCTAACACACAGGACTACACAACAGCCATATGACTTGGATATGACACATACTGACATTTCTGTAATTAGGAAAGAAACTTTCAATTGTCAAATATTTTACCATGCATTGGTTATGGCACCATGTGTTGTGTGTGAGGTGGGTGAGGTCTATTACCTGGAACAAAGCTTCCCTGGACAACGTCCTTATACGCCCACCAATTCTCATCAAGCTTGGATGTTATAGGCTGAGCTGCAGAGAGAAAGAAAGAGAGACTTGTTTTTTTTTTGTTTATTTATATGTTTCTTTGGTAGTGTAAAGAATGCTCTGGCATTGAAGCTCCCACTGGGCTGCAATGGCAAAGGAAAGAAGTAAGAACAGAATGAGAAAAGAAAAGAAAGACAGAAATGTACTGAAAACAGACAGATACTAAACTCTCACCATTAAAGCTCATTAACAGGGTTCATTTATTTTCATAAAAATTACAGCTAGAATTGTAAAGAAGGACAGGATGAGGATAGTAAAGTTGCATTTTCTATTTGCCTTGTTGTCATTTAGGTTATGTTAAAGTTATGGTCAAGCATGTTTAAAGGTAAATAGTATTATTTCCTAATTATTATTTAGTTGGTATCATCATCCTGACAGTGCAGTGTAGGTTCTGTGCCGGTGGAGGGTTCAGACCGCTCCAACTCTAAGAAGGTAACACATCAAGAACCTCTGTCTCTGTCTGTCTGTCTGTCCACTGAACTCACAGAGAGCAAACTGACCCTCCATCCATAGCAAACAAGCTAACAAAGAAAATGTTGAAGTAACAGCACGATTAGTGAATGTAATTCAATTCAATTCAATTCAATTTTATTTGTATAGCGCCAATTCATAACAGAAGTTATCTCAGGACACTTTTCAAATAGAGCAGGTCTAGACCGAACTCTTTAATGTAATTCCTGAATTTCTAATTGTAATCCTTCACTCCATTTTTAAACCGAGGTCCTCCTTTTATTACATTATTTTGGAATTGGAAACAAGGGAAGAAATATGGTTGACCATTTTTATTGTTTGCAGTTTATAGTGATCCTAGTTTCATCAATGATTGAACTTTTCAAAAATAAAAATCAGAGAGGATTCCTTCAAACAAAATCCTCTCAAATTGGGGGTCTGGGGCCTTATGTGCATCACTTGAGGGGGTCCTTGACATGAAAAAGTTTTGGAATATACACTACTAACACCTGACTAGGTAACAGCCAACACTAATGGCCAGGACGTGAGGAAGTGTGTGACTACTATACAAGAAAGCATTAAAACAAGTACGCACTGCTAATTGTTATGTGTAATGTTGTTGAATTAAAGGTACTTTACTTTAAAATATGGTCAGTGTAGGCAATATAAAGGCAGTCCAAAGAGGCAAACAAATCTGGCTGGACCCCATGCTCTCAGTACAACACTGAGAGCATGGGGCAAAATGGCTGCTGTATATACTGAAATGAGTGAACTAGGGTCAGGTGTTCAGGGAGGAGCAGGGTCAGCTGACTGGGGAAAGGTGGGAAATTCTGAGGGCATCTGGTGGACTGGTGGGGAATGGCAAAGTCTCAAAGGTTTCAAGTAAATTCGGGGGCAAGAAAACACAGAGGTGGGGTCCAACTGCAGTTAGCCTGAATGCTAACATCCTATTCATGTAAATATACCACTGAAACATTCAAATGTTGTTCTTGTTGGATAATTTGTGCCATTAAGAAGGGTCAGTTGAAACAATGAAATCCCCATTTTAGTTCAGTAAAAGCTAGCAAATGCCCGTTAGCAACAACAACAGAAACACAGCAATGTAACACATTTGTGCTCTCTCTTTTAAATGTTAAAAAGTACAGTGTTTTGAAACGTCAAAGTGGTATTCATGAAGCTGTACAGGGAGAAAATAAGCATTCCAGTATTGATTCATTTGTAAAAAATGTGCACTGATGGTAATATAATTCATACTATATGTAAAAAATTAAATAAACTTGTAATGAAGCTTTCAAAGTAGGTCAAAATGGAGGATGTTCATGTGGGATGTGTGTTGGGAGTCCCTATGGTGGGTCTACACTGGTGTGCACAACCGCCTGTGGCACCCATGACTTCACACTTTGTGTCCTGTGTGTTTCTAGCCTCAGGGTGCCACAGATTGTGCTGTAGCTCTGTTGCCATCTAACCAGCCTGCCTGGCAGCAACAGCACAATTAAAACAGAGCCGCTGGGATCTGACAGGTAGATCTGGATGGTAGAGTTTGTGTTGCACCAATGCAGAACCAGGTCACATGAACCAAACAGGGACTGCAGTTGACTTACGAGTAAAGTAGATAGGCAATGGCAAGTACTCAGATCCTTTACGTAAAGTACCAATACCACACAGTAAAAATCCTCTGTTACAAATAAAAGTCCTGCTTTAGCAATGTTGGTTCAGTAAAACTAGTATAGTATAGTAAAGTAAAATCAGAAAATGTTTTGGAGTATTTAAGGTCAAATGCAGAAAATGATCATGCATTAATGTAAAAGCATGATTTTAAAGGATTAGTTAATTGATTGTTTGGTTTGTAAAGATTCTGAAAATAGTGAGAAATGCTGTCACAATTACCCAGGGCGTAAAGGTGATCCAGCATTCTGAAGGAAGGAAGTGAAACCTTCACAATGTTGTTTTATCCAACCAACAGTCCAAACCTCAACATTTGTAAATCAACTAATTGCTTACTCAACTAATAATTTCACCTGTACTTATACTGTTGGGTTTTAAGCTATTCAAACTTGAAAAAAAGCTCAGTGGGTAGAGCTGGCGACCAATGCACCGAGGCTGAATCCTTGTTGCAGCAGCCCAGGGTTCAAATCTGACCTGCGGCCCTTTGCTGCGTGTCATCCTCTCTCTCTGACACCCTTTCCTGTCTATCTTCAGCTCTCACTATAATAAAAACAATAAAAGCCCCAAAAATATACTTAAAACAAAACAAAAACATACATTACATTGAAAATGTTTAGTAACAAATGATTCTTGATTAAGCAGCTTTTACTAGTAATTTGAACTGACTCTAACTTACTAAGTTACAAAAACATTCTTGATTAAGTACTTTGTACTAGGTGTTTTGTTTTCACAGAACAAATAAAAAATAGATGTCAGTGTCTTTACTAAATATAACTAAAGCTATCTGATCATGAATGTTTTTTTAACATTTGAGTTAGTTTTACTTCAAATTTTCAATGTAATCAGTTTTAACAATTCTTTGAGTTAAATGAACTTATCTGTTTAAATATTTAACATTTGTACTTCAGCATTTACTAGAGTAAATGTACTTTGACATTCCAGCACTGTGGTTGCCAGTCTATCACAGGGCTAACACACATCCCCATATATTGTTAATTTAAACTAACCAGCTCGCCTGACCTGCATGTCTTTAGAGTGAGGAATCCAGAACGCAGGAAAACCATGCATGCAAATATGCAAATTTCACATTATAGATTCCTCAGATGAACATACTCATCATGAAAAATAAAGCTTGGTTTGAATTGGACAGGAGAAGGGAAATATTTTGATATATAGCTGACTAGCAATCGGAGCCACATACTGTAACTGAAGGTGAGAGATGTCAACATGCATTGCCTTTTTCGATTAAAACCACTTTTTTGGGTAGAAGCTTTCTAATAATTGGCATAGATGTGACTTACTCAAGGGTCTAGAAGTAAAAGTGAGAGGAATGGGATGACACAGAGCTGCAATGACAAAACCCACAGGACCAGGACGGAAGAGGAAGATATAAATCAGGACTGAGCAGGGCAGAAAAAGAAAATTTCACACTGTATTACCCTTTAATATTTGCGAAAATTACCTAACCCAGACGCGAACAGTGGCTACTTAGCAGAGTTGATGAGAATGTTTATGTCTGTACTGACCTAATGCCACTATAATATTAGCCACTACCAATGTGACTCCCAAGAACATTACCAGGAATACTAATAAATCAGCTTTTCTCTGCCAAAACTTTGTGTCACATGATGCTTTTAAACTTTGCCTACAATATTTAAAAGTATATTCCATTGATTTCAGACATAAAGGTTGGTTTAGGCTACTAGTCATGGGGTGTGTGAAAAAAGTTGCACAAGCTCCTCTATGGCTCTGAAGCGTGAAGGTACAAGAGGAACTGGATACTGGACTTAAAGATGGCGCCCAGTAACCTGACCGCATCAGGTTTGTTGTTACACAGAACCATCTGGGAAGTTGTTGTTTGAAACTCTTTGGAAAATGGCAGGTACTTTCAAAAACTACTTGGCAGGTGATTGGTTTGTTCTGATATAACTGATAGCAGCATCTGTGCTAACCTCTAACCTCTTCTCCTGGCCCCGCCCACATGTTCCTGCTCGGACCAATGACTTTACATTAGGATGATGTCACAAAAATATAAGTAACTTTTCTACGCTCTGGGAAGGTTTGGCCAATATAAAACCTTCATGGATTCAAAATGGATGATGTAAATAATAATAATTGATTTTGTTTGTAACTGGATGAATTCCATCAACAGTTTGACAGATGCATTTGTAACGTATCCAGATCTGGTAATAAATAAGTAAATAAGTAAATAAGTGTGGTGATGTCACCAGGGTTCACTGATGACATCACCACTGGTCATCTAGACAGGGTGTAACAAAACAAGTATTTAGAAATTAAAGGATGCGGGCATCTACTGTAAAGGTAGAGTCTAACGAAAAATGTTATCTTGCAATTGCATTGTGGGAATCGTAAGAGCCAGTGTTTTTGGAGCTTCTCTCATACTTGTACCTAAAACTCAGGATATCTCACCCTCAGTTGCTTCAATCTCTTTTTCTATTCTCTCTCGCAAGTCCCTAAACTCTTGTGATTTAGAAGCCTACCTTACAACAGCATGCTGTACCCCTTTTCCTCTCCTCATGTCTTCCTATCTATATATATTTATGTATGTATAAATCTATCTATCTAAGTTTTCAACCTGTTAACAGCTTGTGAAAAACTTAATTTTGAATTGTACATTTTTATTAATGTATTATTTAGTTACATTGTCTTCATTAATTCTGAATGTATGATCTAGTGTTGAGTCAGTCTCTTGTGGCCTTCTGTTTCAGTGTGGTAGGTCAGTTATGAAGATATTGCTTGCCTCCTGATATCCACATGAAAATATCACTATCAGCAGTCCAAACTGCAGTGCTTCGTTTAGAAACCGAGGCTGGCAGCTTCAGCAGTGACGAGTAGGAAGTCTTGACTCATCCCATTGTTGGAATTACTGTGTGTTTCTGACTGAATGGATTGCTGCCTCACCGACACGACCATACTGTATGAGCTCTTTGACATATTGACAGTGATATTCATTATAGTCACACTGTTTCAGTCAGCCTGTGTATGTAAGTGTGAAGCACAGTGTGTACTGTGGGCTGCTACTATGATCTGCGTGTGTGTGTGTGTGTGTGTGTGTGTGAGAGAGAGAGAGAGAGAGAGGCTCCTGATCTAACTGTTACGAAGTGTTGAGACATGAATTCAATCATCTTCAATGGGTTTGAATCTCAGTGTGGTATTGTGCAAAGAGCCTGTTGACACATACTGTGAGGAACACACACATAATGTAAAAAGTGAAATGAGTAGGTTTACCTTGGCAGGTGAGGACTGAATAGGCAGAAGCTGAATAGAACTATCACACTAATAATTATATTTCTGTAGCTTCTAGAAGTATTTACTGCACTGGTGGCATCACTGCAACATTCTCATTCATTTTATTCATGTAGATATTTTAAATCCAAATGTTCTCCTGTATTTCTATGTTGTTATAATGTTTTGCAGGACCATAGTTCCTTACCTGATGACGTGCAGATGATATATGTTTGCAAAATCACAGATATATCCCAAACGACATGCATTCTTCGTTCAATTCATGCTCATTTTCTGCAGCTGTTGCGGGGTCGCACTTGTAGACGACACGGCCTAACTTTGAACATTTTTTTTCTCCCCCTCTCCTTTTTGGTTCTTCTGATCCCCGTCTGTCCCCCGGTGGAGCACCGAGATGGTTTGAAGGCTCGCAGGAGATGCGGTCCTCACAGCGCCGACCACCGTCGCTCCCCGGTTTGCTGTTCAGGCATTTCACTGGGTTTTTTCTTTTTACCCGCGTCTGTCATGTAGCCTATCTATCTCGGTATCAGTCCACCCTGAAGACATTTCAGCTGTGAAATCCATTCACGGAGCATTTTTTTCTTCCATCCTCTCTCTCTCTTTTTTTCCTTTGGAGCGGGTGGATGTTCGTGGCGCACCGCTCGCTCGTCTGCAGCGGATCAGGCAACTTCCACTGACGACGCAGAGCGCACCGAGGGCGCACAGACACACAGACACACCACATATTCATTATATTGTGTGATGACAGAATTTTAAGCTACGTAAGGCAAAAAGAGAAAAAAAACTAAGAAAAGCGTGAGACTTTGAGCTGAAGAGACAAATTATCAGCAAGGAAAGAAAGTTCATTAAAGATTGGGAAACCATGCAAAGTGCTTTAGATGCAACAAACATACTTTATATGCAGATAACTTCCACATAAACTGTCATAGTTTGAGTTCTAAACAAGTTAGACACACACAGTCAAATTCAATCATTTTATTCACAATTAAAAAAGAAAGCAAAACTCAAAAGTGATATTCTTTCATTCTTTTCTTTACTGATAAAAGAAATCATCCAGCGCAGTGATTCATTTGATGCTCTAAAATACAAAGACAGTCGCAGAGCAACCAACTGTGGAGGCAGTGCACTGGGTTGTATGCAGATGGCCTTGAATGTTAGGTTGTATTGACCTACATAAAGACACTGCAACTCCCTCCTGCGGATGTTGCGCGACCTCTAGCGTTAGCTTTGGGTAATTAAAAAGAAAGAGTGAGGTTACAGCAAACTGTCAGACTGACACTGTATGGAGGTTGAGACGTGACATAATGACATACTAACATTTAGAATGGGTATGCTGTGAATGTTTGCGTTCAGAGTCAGTCTTTGGCTTATATCAGGAGAGTGACAGCTGAAGAGGCGGAGGTCATGTCTCCTCATTTTTCCTTTTATTAATGTTATTATTATTATTATTAGGCTGACAGCAATAACTTTAGACCCAGAATGTATTTCCCGGCTTTGAAAAACATTTGAATTAAACGGTAACACTTCCTTTTATGCGTCTGTACTTTCCTAATTGTGAAATCTAGTCGTGAAAACAGAGACAAAGTTCTGAGAGTTAAAGTTAAAGATTTGTTCTTTGTGTTGAAATATATTCCATTTCAAAAGTTTATTGGCTGAATACCAGATGTCTCCTACTTATGTGCATTCTATTTCCACATCACACTTCTGTAAGTAGTATCCTGTCATTTATTGTCTAAAATATAATTATATGTGGTAGCATTATGATTTACAGCACCGGACCGCTGTGGTGAAGAGGGCTTTAAATCTACCAGTCGAGCTGCATTCCAACCCTCACCTGTGGTCGGGAATGTTGGAACTTGTTTCCGGGCTGTAAATATTGGTGCATGTAAAGGGTCAGACTGGGACAAAATTCAAAATCATCCACAATATCATTAAAGTCCAATGTACTGGTCAGTTTGCTCACATCCGTCCACATACAGCGACCATAGAATGCACATACTTCAATAACACTAAAAGAACTGTTACAAATTGAATTTATGTATTCATAATGTCAGTCCAAAGACAGAAGACACATGTTATGCTGTGTTTTCTCTGCCTACTGTGACTTACACTCATGTACAGTGAGGTCGACATCTGACTTGTGTTCATGATGAAACCTCAGATTATAGTTCACACCAAACCAAAAGGACAAGAATCAGAGAGACAGGGAGACAGAAAGAGAGCAGGACATGTTAGATTTCTGATCAGTCAGTTATTTATCCATCATCGTCATCCCGTTCTCTCTCTGTCTCTGACAAGCACACACACTCTAACACACACAGATATTACATAAACTCTTGTTATTTAATCCGTTTTTCATCTCTCACACAGACAGTTTCCTTAGACACAGAGATTAATGCTGTAAAGATGTGAGATTCAGCTTTGACCTACATTGACATGGCTTTAAGATCATCTCAGATTCTTTTATGTCTCTCTATGTGCCTATCTTAACACCCCCACCACACATACACACTCAGACCCTTCCCAACCTCTTGTGTCGGCGGAGAGCAGCTTTGTTAATCTCCCTCAGCAGAGTCTCCTTGTTGTTCTCAATGTTGAATTTTGCCGTCTCCAGCACAAACTCAATCTTCTCCTGGCTGAAGGGACGCTGGAAGGTGGAGAACTCCTCCATCTTTGCTTTGAACTCCTCAGCGTCTACAGAAAATAGTGAGGATCTGTTTAGGCTCCAGTCACCTGTTATCACTGGTGGAACCCCAAGTACTTAATACCTTCCCCCACTCCCAAAGATTAACTAACGTTAAGCCTATTCATTCCCAGCAAGTCGACACTTCCCTAGACAATTCCCCTGAGCGACTATTTCGGTCATTGTACAGTCAAGTCAAAGATTTTCTTTTAACATAGTTACAGTTTCCCTGTACAATAATTTTTTTCCTCTGCCTTCCGCTATGAATGCTATTATTAAGTATAAAAGTATTTTTAAAAAAGAGTATCTAACAACAGCAATGATCTGTTTAAACAGAGTGTGCTGTGTATCGACTAAGAGAGTATTAATCGATGCACTTTTCATTAGTCGGCTATTCCCAGAAAAACAAAAACAGCATAAAACGAGAGCTGCGCCTTGACACCGTAACAAAGGTCTTGGGATTGTTACAACACAGAATTTTTTTCTATGTGCTGACTGCTGTTGAAATAAATGAACTAAATGTTCAGTCTCCTTGCTGCTTGTTCTGACCCATTCAGAATCATTGCCACTTTTTAAGAAAAAAAAAATCAAATAATTAACATCATAAACATTTTATGTCCAGTTGACTATTGACTTGAACTAACAACTACCAGTCGACCAGGAAAATCTTCAGTCGGGGACAGCCTAAAGCATGTAAACCTATTCTAATAGACCAACGTATAAAAGTATGAACCTGAACAACAGCATAATATGGCCCTTTAATATATTAAACCTCTGTTGTTAAAATGGCATTATATTTGGTGAAGAATGCATTATGGTTTGTTTAAGACTCGAAATTCAACTTGGGACTTGCCCGTCTTGACTTGAGCCTTGAATGCAAAGACTTGAGGCTTGTGATTTTGGTCCCACCTTTGTTGTATAGTATTTATATTTCAATCAGACCTGTTTGCTGGTTGCCTAACTGCCAATTTGATTTGGTTCCTCAAATCATGGCTCACTGCAGTTTGAGCAAACATGATTTTATTTGTCTCCCAAGCAGTTCTGCTTCTGAGAACAATAGTCACAAAAAAAGCTGCCTGTGCAGCGTGAACAAACCTTTGCAGTTGCGTCTGTTGAAGAGCGGCATGTAAACGATCGTGGGCTCCTTCTCTTTCCCCTCGAACACGTAGCAGTCGTTCGGCCAGTCTCTCTCCTCCAGGATTTTGTCATCTATCTCTGGAAAAGGCTTCTTCACCTCGGCTGCGTAGTCTCTGGCAAGAGTCAGGGTCTGAAGGGAGCAGAGGGTGAACGTTGTTTCAGACAGGTTTCACAGCTTTCATGCTCTGGAACAAAGTCTGGGCAATAAATCACACTGGTGGAATTGGACTTTAGCTGTCATCCTCCCCTTCATAAGTTAGGGTTAGGCAGGTTTTTTAATAAGGCATACATTAATGAAGGGTTTGTAATTTGTAATTAATGATTTCATTAATGGTTGATTTCATTAAACGTTGATATCTTCCACATCTATACGAGAAGGATATGAAGGAATTGGCTGAAGGTGACAGTGATCGCTCGGTTAAATTACTGAAGCTGAAACGAACCCGATCTGAAACATGACACATTTGTTGTTAAATTGTTGCACATCAGTGACCCAGAGAGTGGTTCCATTGTTCAAAAAGGGGAAGAGAGAATCCAACCATAAAATAGAGGAAGGTATACCTAGCTTTGTCTAGTTTAAACTTCTCCACACAACAGACTGGCTGGAGATAGACGAGAGTTTTGCTCTTTGAATGAAACAAAGACGTTAAGGTGGTATTTATCAAGGTTTTGCATATTAAAGCATTTAAGCTGAACCTTAGACTTGGTTGTATTAAGTCCAGTAAAAGAAGCAATTAGTTTCAATCCAGGGTTCAGGCAGACTGACACACACACACACACACTACCTCAAACATGTTTCCAGCGCTGTACTCTGGTGCGATGATGAGGTCAATGTCTCTCTTGTCTCCCAGAAATGAAGGGTAGGCTACATTAATCAGTAGGCCGGCGTCCACCAGGTGGAATCTCTCTTGTGAGCGGAGGCAAGGTGGAATGGTGGAATCTGCCCAGCAACAGAAGTTTAGAATTTCTCAATTCAACCAAACTTGTTTTAACATATTCATTTACTTACTTGCATCTTGATTATTGTATTTCATTACAGAAAAGCCTATAATAATCAGACAAATCTGGAAGCTCATGTTTTATTTGCATCTGGTCCCCCTTCCATTCAGACAGATTTCACCCTGTCCTGCATCAGGTCAATCACAACTATTTATCTGATATGGGGCAGGTTTTATACGATCACTGTACAGATGAGTGCAACCTTACTGACCGTTGAGGCATATTCGTGAACAACCAAGATGGCTGCTGGCCAATGTGAAACTGTTTCTGTTTCTTTTGACATGTTGACATTTTAGTTTGGCCCATGTCCCATCTACTAACATGGAGGGCTGGCTGACAGCAGGCCTATACTGCAGCAAGCGACCGACTATCGCTGTTCACCAGTTACTTACTGTGTCTGTCTGCTGCTGAGCACACAGTGTGCAGCAGGTTTATCAGAACTGAAAACAGCTGTCTGCTACTACTGGTAACACAAGGTCACTTACTGCACATACAAGAGAGTGGAAACAATCTTCTTATTTAATTCTCAGCAATAAGGCAAATAAGCACATTATACACTATTCCAAAATTGTGATTTTTTTTTTTACTAAAGTCAGTTGAGGTTATTGCTTCTGAGGTCTGTCATCTCACCTTGGTATTGGTAGAGGAAGTTTGCAGTAGTTCCCCACTCCCATTTCATAATCAGAGGAAGGACTTGCTTGGTAAGCAGAGAGACTGGAAAGGGAAACACAAACATGTTTACATCTCATTTAAATAAAATGTTTCTGTCTACAGCCTTGACCAGTCTGGCTGTCTATCTGCCATACACTGACCATGTGTTTTGAAAGTTCCATCCCCCAGACTCCAGCTCCATGCCTCGACTGCCGCCTGTAGCTCCAGACTCCACTGCTGAAAAACACTACGTCTATCCTCCGAATTCTTTGACTCCAGCAATGCAGACTCATTATGATTTACCTTGTCTGCAAAGGATAAGAATCTATTTGACACTGTGGCATTTTGAATCAGACATTTGCTGAGTCATTATTTCATAACAGACACAAAAAAAGTTGAATTGGGAAGAAAATTGAAACATTGATGGCTTGAGGAGCAGCAGCTACAGTGTTGCAAATTAGCTTTCAGCTACCAAAATAATTGGATTTAAAGAATAAAGCTGATGAGAGGTCAGTTTTATAGTAAACCATCTGAGCAGGATCATCATCATCACCAATACCTTTGAGTATTTTCTGCAGCTTGTCCAGGTCAGACAAAGCAGCGGGGTCCTTAATGGTGCTTCTGGTCAGGGCTACTAGTTTATCAAGAGCATTGTACACACGCAGGTACTCTTCAGCAGCACCATCTACATGCCCAAGCACTGAAACACACACACACACACACACACACACACACACACACACACACATCAAGCACGTATGTAACCATGAAGTTGTCACTTTGTGAGATTTAGTATGTATAAAAATGCAAACTGGGATTACCGTTCAGCCAGGGAGGGATGAACTCTCTGATAATCTCCTCGTGAGCCAGCGCACAACCAAGAACACCTGCATGGTTTGAACACACACACAGTTTGACAATGAGGATTAATATGCATGCATATCCTACAGTATTTTTCTCTGCTCTTCTCACTGGCTTGAAGAGGGCTGAGCTCATTTAAAAAGAGGTGATGTTGTATACGTCTGTGCACCAGAAAGGATTTATTCAAAATCTAAGGAGAGTTAGCGGGCTGTTTAGCCACCCTATGAGTATTTTAAAATGTCTCTGTTTTGGTCTCCATCAAAACAGAGGTAGTCTAACAGACAAGTAGGCCTAGTGGTGAAGTTGCAGACTGAAATGAACTAAAAACCATTTGCATTTGTATTTGACGACCTGGGAATGAGAACAAGCTGTGAAGGGAGAAACTACGGTGGCAGCAAAACTCGCAAAAGACGTGAAAGTTCCTATTAACAGCCAGTGTTTGGCTTGTCTGCTCTGGGCTACTGTAGAAACTTGGCAGTTCTATGTGGCGCACTCCATGGAAAGTCACCCACAGCGTCTGTAGATAGAAATGGCTCATTCTAAGCTAACGAAAAACAACTATTCTTATTTTTAGGTGATTATAGACTAATGAAAACATACCTATGAATATTATATTCCATTTCTGACAATAAATCCTCCTAAATGCTGCACACTGGACCTTTAAATAGGTGTACAATATGATCAGGGATGTGATTTAAAAGGGTTAAAAAGGTATTTTTCTTTTCATCTCGACTGTATTCCTGTAGTTTAATAATCACAACTTAATCCAGGTACTTAATCCAATTCAACCCAAACTCTTATGGTTCTCTTTTGTGACCTTGTAAATCCTCACAGCTACTTCAAAATAAAAGCACCGTTGCAGCCTTTGTTTCCAGGTGTTTAGTTACTGCTCTTACCACTCTACTGTTGCCATCAAACAAATTGTTCAGCCTGTGAACACACACCTTGTAGTTTGACCATGTCCATCTCTGGCTTCCTCTCCAGCAGCTCTCCACTTTGGAATTTGCTGCCAAGGAGAGAAGTTTCCACGAAGACACCTAACTCTGTGAAACCAGCCTCATGAGGGCTCACCTCGAACCATTTCCCTGAGAAACAGAATGTCTATTTTACACTTAATACAAATCAGTAACTAATACAATACAGTACGTACGTATAGTTCCAAATGTAACGCTCATATGCGTGTGTACCTTCTATAGGCCCATCTGAAAAGCAGTGTTTCTCTATGGCGCTGTAAATGGGGTAAGGGTTGGAGGCATTTCTGCTGGCCTCATCTGAAAGATGCCGTAGGTCCATCTGATGAAACACAAGATATTTCTCTGAAGGAGCATATATACGATCTTTATGTATCTAAAACACGTACAATCCCACCCCAGCCACAGCCTGTTCACCCTGCTGCCGTCTGGCAAGTAATACAGAAGTATCCACTCCTTTAACACCAGACTACACTTCTTTCCTCAGGCTGTGAGACTCCTCAATTCATCCTCTGCACTCCACCATAAATAATAATTTATTTCTATGACATTATTTATTTAGCCATTTTTATATATTTCTGTTTTTTGAGTAGCATTAATGGACTACAACTTGCATTTCAGAAATTTTAGAATGATAAATAAATTAACCTTGTATAACACGGGTTATGTGTTGGGTTTCAGATAGGAAATATTAAGAGTAGACATGTGTGTGTCTTAGCTCTGGCACCTGTTTCATGATCCCAGCAGAGGTCAAGACCCCCCAGATATCAGTGAGAGAGAAGTGCTCCTCCTTTGACCGCTCATCCAACCAGGTCAGAGCCTGCTCAAGCTCGACCCCAGGACCTGACAGCGTGGACACCGCTCTGTCCATGTTGGCACTCCACTTTGGGTCGCTGTACAGGGATGACATGGACCTGAGAGAGAGAGAGTCAGGTACACATATGTCAAGAGGAACTGTTATGGAGAAAAACACAAAAATCATTTTCTGTAATTCATTAATTGGTGGGTTGGTCCACCACTTTGGTCCAGACTGAAATATTTTGACATTGAATTCCTATGTTAATTTTTTTTATTGTTAAGTAGCAAAACAAATCAAGCTGTGGAACATATCTTAATAGAAATAGAAAACCTGAAAATTTAGAGACTACTTTTCCAGTCATGGAAACACTTGGAAATGTATTGAAATTACCAAATATGCTGGAAATTAACTTTTATGTCCTGGAACATTTCAAATGGTATTTTAGCTCCTCCTTATGTAAACCTGGGTGCTCATTTATAATTTCTAGAGCTGTTCGCACCACTTAGAGCAAACTTTGGGCATCAAGTCTATTTTGGAAATGCTGTAGATGATCACATATACATGCCTGTTAATGATCTAATTTACATTTGTTGTTGTGGTTGATAATCGTTAATTGTATGTACAACAAACAGTTATACCATTTACCTCTTCTTTTAATAGGCTAATAGGCGAGAATATGAATTTTCTGGTCAATAAAATAAATTCTATTTGATTTTAACTGTTATTTATGGGCTCTGGCTACATGAATGTTACAGTTAGAGGAAAACTGTAGTCAGTTTACAGCAGAGTGCCACTCTGCTCTGCTGAGCCCCCAGCAGGAAAAATCTGCTGGGGTGAGAACAGCCAAGCGTGCCACAATAAAGCTTACATACAAACAGCTTCCTCATTGATCAGATTACAGTACAGTCCATGTACCAGGAAGATCTCCAGTCCTGAGCATAGCATGTCACAACATGGCACAACAGAAGTGCTGTAAAATAAACTTCATAACTTAATATATATGGTAAGTATTTTTTTCAAATGCTCCTGCAGCCTCTCACAACCCAACCAAAGCCTCAGGTCAAGGGCTTAGCTCAAGGGCACCTCGCTGGTAGTCATTCAACCTGGTGACAGTTCAGTCACAGCTCTCAGTTCTGCTCTGTCCATCTGTGCATTGTGCCATTCATACACAAACTTGTGTTTATGTGCATAAGTGTGATTACTGTTACCATGTTGAGCCAGAAACTCCTCCCAGGTAGAGCAGAGTGTCCAACAGACCTTCTTTTTCCATCTGATAGAGGGTACCCACCAGACCCACGGCTGACCTCTGACCCCCACCTGATGCCAGCAGAGCAATGTGGGGAACTGAATCCTGGTTGGAAAGATGATGGACATGATGCTTAAATGCCTTTTGTGAATATATAATAATATCTCATTACATATGATATTAGCCTTTTAGATAACTTACCTTAGTATCTGTTATCTAACAACCATACAGCTTTAGCAGTAAAGAGAATATTTACTGCCAAAAAGCCAAATTACTTGACTTGAAAATGCATGTGACATTTGTGCAAAAGTTTCCAAAGAAGAATAAAAGACAGAAATAAATTCTTTCTTACTGCAGTACAGTTGGTTCCCAGGCTGTTGAGTGACTCCAGAACAACTTGTTTCCTCTTGTGAATGTACTCCTGTTCACCAGCACACAGAGACTGAGACTGACGGATGGGCCTCTGGAAAGAATCAAGGACAGCTAACAGAATTAGACTGAAAAGGACATTATAAATGTGTCACTGTTTTAGGCCTCTAAAAATACAGAGAATGAACTAGAATAAGATACCAACAATAAAATAAGATAAGAAGGGTGAAATAAGCAAATATACAAATATTTAAAAGTGGGGCTAGTTATTCTGGAGAAACTGATTACCATGACATGGTATTGGTAGTGGTTCCCAAGACCCCCACTAGGGGTCGCTAAAGCTTAGGGTGTGCTAGAAAACTTAAAAAATATACACAGTAGGTCTGTATGTCAGCATTTAGTTCCATTCTGTGAGGAAAGGAAATGTAAAGTAAAGTAAACTGTTAAGTAAACTGTCTAATACAACAATGCCCAAGCATCAGGAACAAAAAACAACTCAATTTGTCAAAAAAGAAGCCATAGCCAAAGAACTGATTGTTAAAAGATGATAAAAAAAATACATACTAATGTGCCACATTAATATAATGCTTTCGAGTTCAAATATCTTCATTTGAGAGCTTTTCCAAACTAAAGCTTTTTTCTTTCATTTTCCACAATAGGAGCAATAAATACCACTACTGTTGCCATGACAGTCAATAAAAGTGTACAGCCAAATGTCGAAAGAGTAAGAATTATTTTGTGTTTTCCGTAATTTTTGCATTTTTCTGGCATGTATGCTCCTGTAGTCCTACAGACAAAGGGTACACACAGACACACACAGTATCAGGGTAGCAGGACCTGACATGTAGGTGCAATTTCCTGTTAAATGATACATTGGACTATAAAAATCATGCTACTAATGAGCAACCCAAATCCTTTGCCATGCATCTCTAACCTCAGAAGAAGTTGCATTCCCTTCCATGTTGTCCACTGCTTCTGCCTGCACCGCTGCTATCACAAGCCAAAGCCAAATCACTGAGGCTGAAAAACTTGCATTTCCACTCTTCATGTTGGGGCGTGAACACAACCTTCAAAGAGTCACATGAAATGCTACAGGTAAATCCACACCCTAGTGAAAGTTCTGCCGTCTTCTGACTCGGTTTCTGGTATATATCTGTGATCAGATGTTGCTGGTTTTTATGTGGCTTCCCCTGTTGAGGGGCTGCTTGGGGGGAGGGGGATTTCTCAACAAGCACCAGATGTTAAATTTAAACCAAGCTTAAAAAACAGGAAACAAAGTACAGGGAGTGCCAGTGCTCCCATCCAAAGTACATAAATGAGCCAGCTAATAAAGTCTGGAGTGATGGGTCAACATTACTGAAGCCCCTAATCACACATTCTTTCTGTTCTCACAATGCTGTTCTCTCTGATAACCCTTCCTCTAGTCCTGATGTCTAATCAATCATGATCATTTGAAGAGTCTATAAATCGATGACTGATTGAATCAATGACGAGAAAGAGATATCTAATTTTCCTTATGGTATAAGAGCTATGATGGCAGAGTGGTTAAGGTGTTGGACTTGAAATTTAATGGGGATTCCCTGTGCAGGTTCACATCCTGCTCACAGCGGTGGTGGGCTTCATTATAGGAACTGACCTACATGCTGGCATCAGAAGCAAAAACCACATCCACCATTTAGCGGGATCTACCAGTGAAGTTGTAGATTACAACCAACTGACTACAGCTCAGCCTTCCGAGCAAGTAGGAGGCAAAAGGAGCGGGTGTCTGGTTTGTCCTGGCTACTGTAGAAAGACCATTGGTTCAACATAGAGCTTAGTTTTTGTGGAGGCAGAGGAGGCCTTAATGGAGGGTTACAGGACAACCGACTAGGAACTGTTTCAGGAAGACGACGGCGACGACATCGAGGGTCTCACCCACTGTGTCACAGACTATATCAGGTTCTGTGAGGACAGCGTTATCCCCACCAAGAGGATTCGCTGTTTCCCCAACAACAAGCCATGGATCAACAGAGACATCAAAGTCCTGTTGAACAGAAAGAAGATGGCTTTCATGGCAGGAGATGAGGATGCAAAGAAAGACATTCAGAGGGAGCTGAGGAGGGCCAAAGACTGTTACAAGAACAGGATAGAGGGGAAGCTGCAACAGACCAGCACAAGAGAGGTGTGGGGGGCCGCCATCATCAAGTCCATCCTCACCTCTTCCATCACCATCTGGTATATAGCGTATCATTCGATCTGCTGAGAAGGTGATCGGCTGCAATCTGCCATCCCCCCAAGGACCCTGGTCACAACTCTTTGAAACACTTCCCTCTGGTAGGAGGCTGCGGTCCATCAGGACCAAAACCTCACGCTACAAGGACAGTTTCTTTCCGTCTGCAGCTGGCCTCATTAACAAGGCCCGGACCCCCCACTGACACTACCTCTTAAACCCACCCTGTATATATGCATTACATTAATGCACTCCCGTTTTCTGTACAGTATTCTTATCTTTCTTATCTTTATTTATTTATATTTTAAAAGTACTTTTTTGTGTGATTGTACATTTTATGCACCATTGCACCAAGACAAACTCCTTGTAGCATAGGAGGCGCTATTCAGAGGCCAAAACTATCACTGAAAGAAATAAGTCTAGCTCTCATAAAGCCAGTATCACAGTGACCTGAGTTCAGCAGCAGTTCTGCCATTCAGTACCCACATTGGTATTTAGTGTAGGCTAATTAGGCTGTCACTGACTTGAGATCAGCGAGCAAGCTCTGTCAGAATTCGCGTCACTACGTAACTACGCGAGCTCACCTTTCCCGTTATCTTTTGCAGTGTAAGATTAGTGAACTGAATTAGTTTGTTAAATGGGAAACAATGGATGGATTGGTTTTCAGACGTCCTCAGGTGTTGAATAACCCTTTTCAATAGCAACCAGCAGACTGATGCCTAGAAACGTCAGCGATGAGTGTACATATATTTATATATAATAATAATAATAATAATAATAATAATAATAATAATAAATAATAAAAATCATCAATTTTTGGAAACTGCTGGCTTTGTGGCGTTCTGTGTGGCCTCTGCTGTGTTTCCCTCTGTCTCTCTTTTAAGTTGCATATTTGATCTGCTGAATCTGTTCTGACTCTGCTGCTGTGGTCTGGTGTTTTAATAAAACTCAGTAACACATGCAGGGTTTTTGTGTCTTTGCTTCCATTGCTAAGATGTTTTTGCAGGAAGAGGAAAATCTCGCTCTCCCTGAGCATGTGGCCTCTTCTATGCCAACAAGAGGATCACAAGTGCTAATGAATGCACTAACCTTATTTTAAACGGGGTAGTCAATGTGGCATTTGCACCTTTCTTCAACTGGGCATTGCAAATGGGCAGTGCTTAAATGTTAAAGCAACTGTTTTGTGTTTCATTCATTTTGGGCTGGAGAAGTCAGTGTGAGGTCCCTTTACAAGAGGACCTTAGAATTAGACATACAAGAGTACAAAAGACTCCTAATGCAGAAGGTCAGATCTGAGGTGGAGAAACTGGAGGAGGAAAAGAAGGTAATCCAGTAACACAATTGATTTCCTGCCGCGGCATGGGAAACAATGTATTTTCCTTTGTTATCAGGAACGCCAGAAGAAATAAAGGCCCATACTTTGTCTTTTTATACAAAAAAAATTGCTCTGTGATGGCCTCTCTCACAGCCCTGCCAGTAGGGTGGTCCAGGGTGGAGGGTCCCACAGCATCAGGGGGGTTGTGTGTTGATATGGGGCCATCTTCTTCTGAATTATGGCTAAATTGTAGAATGTTGTAGAATAATTCAGCAAGGCATGTCAAGACATGTTGAGGCATGGGAAGCTTTCAGGATGTCACAGACAGAAAAACTAATCCATGCATTTGTTACTTCTAGGCTGGATTACTGCAACTCTTTATCATCAGGCTGCCCCAGTAAATCCATTAAGACGCTACAGTTGATTCAGAACGCTGCGGAACAAGTACTGACAGGAAAAAGAGATCATATCTCTCCTGTATTACCTTCTCTGCACTGGCTGCCTGTTAAATTCAGAATAGAATTTAAAATCCTCCTCCTCACCTACAAAGCTCTTCATAGTCAGGCCCCTTCATATCATACCCTTCTTCGACTTTTCCAGTGCCTTCGACACCATCCAGCCTCTCCGGCTGGCAGAAGACCTCTCTGTGATGCAGGTGGATCAGGACCTCGTGGCCTGGATCACTGACTACCTCACTGACAGACCACAGTATGTCAGACTGCACAGCTGCTTGTCAGATGTGGTAACCAGCAGCACTGTTACACCCCAAGGAACTGTACTATCACCGTTCCTGTTCATCCTCTACAGCTCTGACTTCTGCTTCAACTCTGGAGCGTGCCACCTACAGAAGTTCTCTGATGACTCCTCCATTGTTGGCTGTATCTCAGATGATAGGGAGGAAGAGTACAGAGACCTGTTTGAGAACTTCATTGGATGGTGCGACAGGAACCACCTACAGCTCAACACAGGAAAAACCAAAGAGCTGGTGGTGGAGCAAGAGGACCCTGTCCCCAGTTGAGATTAGGGGGGAGAAGGTAGAGATGGTGGACACCTACAAGTTCCTGAGGGTGACACTCAACAATAAACTGGACTGGCCCTCTACAGGAAAGGACAGAGCAGACTGTTCTTTCTGAGGAGGCTCAGGTCATTCAACGTGTGCACTCGGCTACTACAGATGTTCTACCAGTCTGTTGTGGCCAGTGTCCTCTTCTTTGCAGTGGTCTGTTGGGGGGGAGGTATCGGCACTGTGGGTGCCAACAAGCTTAGCAAGCAGGTGAGGAAGGCCAGCTCGGTGGTGGGGATGGAGCTGGACAGTGTGGAGGCTGTGACGGAGAAGAGGATGAGAGGGAAGCTGAAAGCCATAGGCTCGTTTGTACCATCAGCCATCAGACTCCACAATGCCACAGCACCCAGTACCTCCAACCCCCGCAGACAAAGACTGGTTTAAAACTCCTACCTACAATGCACAAACCTTTTGCACTATTAATATCCACTTTAGTAGTTTAGTAGTTTTAGTTTAGTTTTAGTTTTTTAGTTTTAGTCAAGTTTAATTTTCTCCTTATATTTTGCACTCCATGTCCTACTTGAACAATGCATAGTGTATATACTTTAATTTATAGTTTTATATCTTCTAATAATAATAATATTAGTACTATTTTTATTGTGATATTCTTTGTTCTCTGTTTTTGCACTACTTTGCCCTATTGCTGCTGTGTCGACTTGAATTTCTCCTAAGGGGGATAAATAAAGGAATATCTTATCTTATCTTATCTTACCCCACTAGAACACTACGTTCTCTGAATGCAGAGCTGCTTGTGGTTCCTATAGTCTCTAAAAGTAGCTACCAAGCTCCTCTCCTGTGGAACCAGCTTCCAGTTTGGGTTTGGGAGGTAGACACCGTCTCCAGGAGGGGAAAAAAGAATACATAAAAAATAAATAAATAAATAAAAGAAAGGTTTTCCTTGCCGCCATCACAAAGTGCTTGCTCATGGTGGGAACTGTTGGGTCTCTGTAAATAATGTTATAAGGAGTTAGGTCTAGTCCTGCTCTATTTGAAAAGTATCCTGAGATAATTTCTTTTATGAATTGGCGCTCTACAAATAAAATGTAATATTCATCCAAATTTCTCGTTTTACACAAATTTCCGGACAAGGCTGTTTATCAGAGAGTGACGCGTCTGTGAATGTAGCTTGTGCAGTTCTTCAAAGTTTAGATCTTAAATAATAATCTAAATTATAAAAAAAAAAATTTCAGGTAGGTGGAACACAAGCCTTTAAGACAGGTGAGCTGGTGGCTGGCTGATGTTTGGGCTGAGGTGAGGGAAGGGATCAAGGGGTGAAGGCTTGCAGAGGGGGGGATAGGAGCTGACAGCTGGCTTGGCAAATTGGTGTGGAGAGCTGGCAGACAGGTGCTCCTGGAGACAGAGAGTCAAGCAAAGCCAGCAAGCTGTTAGATAAACTGACTAACCAGAGTTTTCACTGAGCTGTAGTAAGGCTCATAGACATGTATGTCAGCACAGGGCTCTCACAGTGCTGAGGTGTTGAGCTTGTTAGTGGGAATATTTTTATTCAAAGCCGGACAGTAGTTTTGAAGTATATTCAAGTGTGTATTCAGTATTCCACATAAACACATTAAATATAAACACAGTGAGGCTGTAAGGGTAGATAGGTTTCCGGCTGTGCGGACGTTGAATGTCTATCGACCTCCTCTGTAGTCTCATTTAGCCACTTGTTTTTTTAAGACATGCAAAAGCTTAAAAACTCAGGAGGTATGCAATCATACATATGAATATTATATTCCATTTTTGACAAGAGATCCTCTTAAATGTTACACACTGGAGCTTTAATGGTTGAAATGGCTAAATTAACCTTTACAAAAAACACTATGGTCTAACTTCTATTCTAAAGAATTACTGTATTAAAAATGACCACAGTAATTCTATGTTTTTTTGGAACTCACTATAGAAAATTACCATATTAATACTATTGAGTGGACTACGGTGATCTTATAGTGAAGTTATATTTACACTAAAGTGTTTATGTAATATCACTATTGTCATTGCTGTAGTATTTCTATGGTTTTTAGGGAATTACTATAGTTATACTATATTTTTTATATAGTATTACTGTAGTTTGTTCTATAGTCTTTCTGTGGTTTTCCAGACATACTATAGAAAGTTACTATAGTAATATTATACATTTACTGAAACATCATCATAATATTACTATAGGAATGTTCTATAGTACGTTCAAAAAAACAACACTATATAATACTAGTAATACTATTTAAAATAGTATGGGAGAACTACAAAGATCTAAAAGCATAGCATTAATAATGAACTATTATAGGGCTGCTATAGCTTATAAAACAAGACTAATGAAAAAATACTATAGAACGCTACAAAGCTAATATAGGACATTCTACAATTCTTATAGTATACTAATACTATAGTTCACTTTCATAAGAGAACTTTAACATCTTTTTTCTTGGCATTTTCCCCTGAAGTGGAGAGTTGATGGTGAAGAGGCAGACAGGACAGAGAAAGAAGGGTATGACATGCAACATAGGTTTCCCAGCTGGAAAGCGATACCCATTCACCCGTGGGAAACGGAATTTTCTCCTCTGCCTCTGGGACGTTTACAATCTTGTCATTGTGCTTTGCTGTGCAGACAGCGTCACTGTTACAGTGACATGAAGGACATTTACACGTGCATGTTGTACTTGCAGAAGATGTGTGTCAAATGTTTGCTGTCTGTTCTGTTACTGTATGTATCTTCTGATATAGCTATCTGTCTGACGTCAGTGTTATCCTACGAAGATGTGCGATAGCAGGGTATAAAAGGGATGGGAGCTCAATTCATTAACTATGTGAGCCTTTCCCCCCCTGCTTCCCTACACAGACCTCCAGAGAGATCCATACACCGTCCACCTACAAGCATGCTGTGTGGAAATGTCGGCTGGGTTGCTGGGCTGCTCTGCGCTTGTGCTGTGATGTTAGGACCTATGGGCCAGCCTGTGAACAACAGGGAGGTGGGAGAGGTGTTAAGGGGAGATAATATGACAACTCCTGCACGCAACAACTGGAATGAGTCAACATTCGCTGCCAAGGTGAGGGAATGAATGAAGGATAAGTTGCAGTCCAGTGTTCTTCTGTGTTCAGCCCACTGAAGTGTTTATCATGTGGGTCCTCAGCTGAAACACTGCCAAAGCCACCAGGAAACAAGCCAGATATTCTGTATAATATTATATTTAATATGATCTAATATAATCTTGTATTGAGCCAAACAACCTGTCAGTGTGGTAACCCAGTTTGGCTTGGCTAGAAACTTTCAACCTAGCATAAAAATCCAGCCACTGTAATGGGCCTTAAAACTAGAAAAAGGCCAAGAATTTAAGCAGAATTAAGTTGTGCTTATTACAAGCAGGGAAAACTCTTTTTTGGTACCCTAATCTAAAAGCAGCTTACAATAAAATACAGTTTCACAATTTATCGGCATAATAAGTTATTTTGTCTTAAATGAAGGCACCAGAGGCAGAAGTTCGATATATTTCAGATTACTTTTCTAATGCAAAAAATGCTTGACAAGATTATTTTTCTTTTTTAGACAAAATATAAGACTAATATTCCAGAAACAAGGCTGTTCTACTTTATTGAGATTCCCTTTTTTGCAGTGAATAGATCTTATGAGTCCCGGTGCTGTTAGGAGATTAATAATTTAGAGTATTTATTTTATTTTCCAAGACCACAAGTTTGTTTTCATGACCTAAGACTCTACAAAAACAGCTTGTGTGTTAGCATTACTAGCTGCTGGGAGCCAAGCACATTTTAAACTATTCAGGTTAGTTTTCAGGGGGCCCTTTAATGATGTTTGACATTTATCAGGAAAAAAAACTGGAGAAAGTAAAATTGACATTAAAAGGTTGCACACACATCTAATAACTAAATTTGTTTTTCATGTTTTTATGTCAAAATGTATATATGAGACAGAGGAACTTGCTGTATGACAGTGTAAATGTTTAATTAAGTATACATTTTTCAACAGGCCCGTTTACAAAGAAGATGCAAATGTACTTTAAAGTATAATATGTACCTCATTGTACATAGGTTTAATATCATGGTAGAAAATGATTGTCTGTCATTTTAATGGTGCTCCTGCTGTATGGACACATTATAATACTACTCTGTGTGTGTTGCAGCATGATGTGCGTCAGTCCTTCTTGTTGTCTGCTGCGGAGCAGGAGTTTGTCCTGAAGAGGAAACAAATAGCAATGAAGTCACTCAACAACCTGGGAATCACTTTAACACTGGTACGACTGAGGAAACTCAGCTTTCTTTATCTCCCTTTCTCACAGCCTTTCTACATTTATATATTCACATATGCCTGTTTTGAGAATGTTAAACATTACTATATCAGTTTTGATAAAAGTAGACAGACTGTTAATTTCAGTATTGTAATTTTGAAACAAAACTATAGAGTCTACAGCCATGTTAGTGGTTTTGTGAGGCTCTACTTCAGCACAGCGGTGCTTTGACCTAAATACCATACCATGTTCAGCATCTTCAATTAGCAGGTTAGCATGCTAACATTTCATAAAAATAAAAATATCTTTCATGTAGGGACTACAACTTGCTTTCTGTTGCACAGCCCAGTGTTATAAAATAAGAAATAAAAGAACCTTGAACCTCGTTACCACAAAGAATGAAAAAAGACATTTTGACCTGATTGTGGCGCTAGCTTAAAATTCACCCTGTAGGCATTATGAATGAAAACATTTCACAGCAATCCTTCCAAACTTGGTTATCATTGAATTAACCGTGATTTGGTAATGTTCCCACATAACTAATAACAACAGCTGTTCAGGTTAACTTCAAGTAGGTTTGGGGTTAATAATGCTTTGGGCAAGAATAAGCAAGGGCCTTTATCCAGTGTCTGTCCCTGTAATGGCAGAAACTGTTTTAAGATTGGTATTTCTTCCCATTCATATGTCTCCCCCTTTTGTTCCCCCTCCAGGACTCAGTTCCTCACATTGCACTCTTGGGGTCAGGTGGGGGTCAGAGGTCAGCCTTGAGTCTGGTGGGTTCCCTCTATCAGATGGAAAAGGAAGGCCTGTTGGACACTGTGCTCTACCTGGGAGGAGTTTCTGGCTCTGCCTGGTAAACACTTACTCACACAGTCACACTTAATCGATTTATATGTACACTGCATTACATGGAAAATCTGAAATCTGAAAAATCAGCTTACCCTAACTTGATCCAGCCTTTGTATGAGAGCTCTTGGTGGTTCCCTGAGGCACTGCGCCTAATAAGAATAAAGCTCAGAAAGATGGTAGTTTGAATCTGAGTTTAAACCTACTTACTAGCAGTATTTCTGATATATGCCATGTGGGCACTCTGTTCTGATCTGTAGTTTAACCTCCTATCACTGAGATTTTTATTAAATTAAATTTGCTTTATCGGCATGCAAATTACTAATACATCATTGCCAAAGCAGGTTGTATGTTTACACAGTAACATAATATAATTTAGAATGTAAAGGAAAAAAGACAAATGGTTTGCACATTACTACACATTATATAACATTCACTATACAACACTGCAACTATTCTACAAAGTAGTGAGAGAAAGACAAAAAATGGCGAACAAATAACTGACAGTCGAACAATTAAGTGTAGTGTTAATGATAAGAACCATCTGAAAAAGAGATCAGAAACAATCACACCTTGTGGAAGCTGAGCAGGGTTCTGTTGTTGTTCTGGTTTTCCCATTGGCTGTGACTTGTTAAGCTGCTCGCCACTGCCAGTTCTTCCCCCAAGTAAATACCACATTTTGCTTTGACTCTCTCTCTCTTAGGTCCATGTCGTCCCTGTACAGAGACCCACAGTGGAGCGCCAACATGGACAGAGTGGTGTCCAATCTGTCAGGTCCTGAGGTCCCTCTGGAGCAGGCTCTGGCCTGGCTGGGCGAGAGGGCAAAGGAGGAGCACTTCTCTCTCACTGATATCTGGGGGGTCGTGACCTCAGTCGGGATCATGAAACAGGTGCATTGCACACATACAGGGCAGAGCTGAGAGAAAGCAGCAGGGCTGAGCCAGTGCTTAGTTCAAATGCCCTCACATTTACATACACATAACAACTTGCATCATTCTCATCTGATTGGCTTCACAACAAAATCGACAGAGGACAGACATCAATAACTTTACAATCAATTAACAAGCAATATGATTTTGAAAGACATAAATATAGCTATAAAAGGATGAGGAGGGTCTTAATTTAATATTCCAATTGCATTTGGCCTGAATGTCTTTCTATAGACATGTGGTGGCTCTCACTTGTCTCTGACGCCTCCCTGAGGATAAAAGCTAACAGTGCAGATCTAAAGGGTGGAGAGGATTCAATCTGGAAAACGTTGTTCTTTGTATTTCATTATTATTTCTCACCTCTGTGACTTTGCTTTAATTTTACCAGCCTTATTTGCTATATGTTCTGCTTTGTTAAGTGTTACCACATAGCAATGAAGATCAAATAGTACTTTCCACCATGTTTCATGCTTGCCAACTCCAAAATCATTTAACTTCCTGAGTAGATAGAATCTCTGTGTGGCTTTCTTAAAAGCCTTACTTACTCATCAATACATGTTGGCTGACATATGACAAGCTAAATTTAGACAAGTGAGTATGATATGGTCCATTATTGAACAACAGTAGCCAGGAATGAATCCTTCTTAATGCATTTATTGTTGATTATTATTTAAAGCTGCGTTGATTTGTTTTTGGCCACCTGGGAGCAGCAGAAAGCTATAACCACCAAACTGACATATTATCACCTTATGAAGTTGTTATAGCAAAAATCCGCCACTTCCAGTTACATGCTAACAAATTGTCTGCTAGTCGATGAATTCTGGTGTACGACAGCCTCCCTATGTGGGTCCGACTGAGCCTGAGTCGTATTCCAGAAAGATGTGCTTCTAGCCTCCTTTCTTTTTATTTTACTTTTAATGTGGCAAAACCATGTTGAAACTAAATATTAATGATAGCAAATCATTTCTATATACTTTGAAACGCGTCTGGAAGGGAAACACAACAGAGAGAGCATTATAATTTCTAGCTTCACAGTTCACTGACCTGGTGCTCTTCTGGCAGCTGGATCCTCGACATCTTTCTGAGGATAGCATGACCGCCTTCAATCCCTATCCCGTATACAACGCAGTGGACAAAAACTGCCTTCAGAATGGCCCTGAAAAAGGTACTGAACACACACACCTACGCAGACAACAGACTGAAGCTGTACTCAAGCACTGAGCATTGTTTACCAATGCAGACTCTATGTTCTTTCTTGAAAATCAATCAGGTTTATAACTGTGTTTTCCAAGACTTATTGTCACAGTCAGTGTTTTGCATCCGGCTGTCTTTATTTGGCTCAGGTAAATGGTTTGAGATGACTCCTCGAGAGGTTGGCTTCACAGATCTGGGCCTCTTTATTAACACCTCTCGTCTAGGCAGCAGAAACTATGAAGCAGATCCTGAAGTGCAAGAGATGGACATGGTCAAGCTGCAAGGTATGTCTGCCTCTTTTGTCTGCTAGAAACACAATCTCCTAAAAGCAAGGACATCAGTCCACAGCCAATTGTGCAGAAGCTCAAAAGCCCATGATAATGCTTTATTACCGTGGCAATAAAATATGGAAGTCATAAGCACTCATGATTGCAATAATACTTTATATCCTGTTCTCTTGCCATGAAAAGTATTTTGTTGTTGTGCTAGAAAAATTGTTGTTGTTTTCTCAGGATAATGACACAATTATTCTGTTGTAATAAGAACACAGTTCATTAGCACAACATAAGAAACAGAACTCCAGATCTTGAAAACAGGATTAGAAAAATAATTTCAATCACATTCTCAACCTCTGTGCTATTTCTTGGTAATGAATTATTAACTGTATGATTTATTAACTTTATGTGAAATGTTCAAAAAGTTTCCTGGAATAGTTTCTTAGCATAAACGCACAGTGTAATTTCCTCCTGTGCCTAACTAAAGGGTCACTTCACTGACATTAAACCTCAAGATTACTGCTCAGTACTACTCAGCCGTTGCATAATGTTGTCTGTGGCTCTGTGGTTTTAAGGAGCTTAAAAATAAAGGTTAAAAAAAAACCTGATGACGTCATCAGAGTTATGTTGGCTTGGGCTTGGGACTATAAATTTATAACTGAAAGCCTGTGTTACAAACCGGCTAAAAGGTGTTCTCATCAGCAGGGTTTTTACAGTGTGTATCGTGTGTGTGTGTCTGCTTTGTCATGCAGGTATAATGGGCAGCGCAGTAGCAAATGAACAGAGTCTGTTCAACTTTATGCCTGTCTGGCTGAAAGGTAAAACACTTCAATAGTCTATAACTAAAGGACAAAGTAGCCCATTAATTAACAAAGTAGCTGAAAATGTTTAAATGTAAAAATAACTTGTGTGTGTGTGTGTGTGTGTGTGTGTGTGTGTGTGTGTGTGTGTGTGTGTGTGTGTGTGTGTGTGTGTCTCAGGTCTGGTGGGAGCAGCTACTGATGAAAACAACTTACTGGATGTGGCGTTTCTCTGGACTGAAGGTACCAGGTTTATAGAATAGTAGCTAGTTGAATAACCTATATGGGCATGTATATTTATATTTCTATGTATCAGTACCAAACCAGGTCAAGAAGTTCTGGGACGTCAGTGACCGTTACATGCGTGGGTACCATAGCCTTTTGAAGGTAACGGAGCTGATCAGAAAAAACACAGAGGATCCCACTGTTTTATCTGGGCTGGACGACCTGCAGAAAACACTGAAAGGTACTAATGCTTGCAATGACGGTAATGATGAGGATAATTAATCTGAAACTTTACGTATGCAGGAAAGGCTCTCAGTTCACGCAACACTGTGAATTCTTTTTTTCCAGAGAGTTTGAACCTAAACCCTATGGCTTCATTTGAAAAGAAGAGCCCAAAACAACAACAAAAGCTGATCCTGGAGCAGTGGGGTCAGAAGATGGCACCCATACATACTTGGATCCAAAGTCTGGAGGAAGGACCAGTCAAAAGTGGTGGTCAGTTCGAGAGTCATAATGTTCTTGTCATTGCTGCTACCCTCTGCAGCCAACGCTTTTTCTACCATCTGTCCGAGCATTTACTGAGACATACATTCAGTAAATGCTTTAACTAAAAACTAAAACTTTAAATACCAGGAGCTGCACGGGTTGCCTTGATAGCTCACCCGGCCGATCTGTGGCCCTTTGCTGCACGTCGACCCTTCTCTCTCCCCCCTTTCCTGTCTTATTTTTATGGAATAGTTCCTCCCTCCCTAGTTCTGTGCTTCTTCTTTTTTTGTCTGTTGCCGTCACATTGTTTTTCTGCCCACAAGTCTCCCAAACAACTTTTCAAGTTCATCATGCACAATAACCTGTATCTTTTGGCTGTGCTGTGTTTCCCCAGTCTCTCTGTTGATCCAAAAAGTCTTCCCACTGATTCAGAAATGGGAATGGGGAACAACTGAAAACTTCCTCTACCAATACCCAGGTAAATTATCATCACTGCACTTATTGCCTGTTCCTTGACTGTATTCATGCTCCTGTGACTTGGCAGACTGTGAAAACAACAGATCGGGTTCAAACAGTTGCTATATTGAGCTTTGTGTTGCTGGGAAGGTGCTGCAGTGCCGGCTTGCCTCAGACTTAAGGAGCACATAGAGCTGATAGACGCTGGTTTGATGCTCAACATGCCCTACCCTCCCTTCCTGGGAGAAAAGAGAGACGTAGACCTCCTTATTGCCCTGGAATCCGGAGCTGATGACATCTTCAAGGTTAGGCGTTTGTAACGAGCGTTTGTGATAACTGGTGGCATGTTTCAGATGGATCAGTGGAGCCCTAGGAGTGAGAAAAGTCATAATGTTGGCTGTTGAAAGTAATACAATAAATAATCAGAAACTCTCTGCACAGACTCTCATTCTTGCCAGAGACTATGCAGCCGAGGTGAAGAAGCCTTTCCCAGAGATAGACCCCAAGATCCTGGAGGAGAGAGACTGGCCGAACGACTGCTACGTGTTTGAGGGAAAAGAGAAGGAGCCCACGATCATTTACATGCCGCTCTTCAACAGACGCAACTGCAAAGGTTTGTTCACGCCTACGCTGACAGCACAAAACACTTATTTCAAATATGTACGCGATCACCAATGGTTTCATTCTGGTCCAGATGCTGAGGAGTTCAAAGCAAAGATGGAGGAGTTCTCCACCTTCCAGCGTCCCTTCAGCCAGGAGAAGACTGAGTTTGTGCTGGAGACGGCGAAATTCAACATTAAGAACAACAAGGAGACTCTGCTGAGGGAGATTAACAAAGCTGCTCTCCGCCGACACAACAAGAGGTAGCGTGGATAAATGAATGAACTAACACTGTTTTTTCTTCATCTTCTTTAATTTTCTCATCATCCCTCCTCTTCTTCTTCTATTTCTCCAGCTACGGGTCTTGGGCAGAGTCCGGCTTCTAAACTTCATGGAGTCTGCATCACACAAGCACTGAGAAACTGGCGGGGAATACATTGTCCATCTCTCCATCACTGAAACACTGTTACAGTTATTCATTCAAAAGTTGACAGTGCAGCTGAAACCATGTTTATGTGTATACATTCCTGTCACATCTGGATGTAGTAACGTAAATGGAACACTAGAGGTCTGTCTATGTTCACCATGTTTTGACTTGAATGTATTGATAACAGTGGCATTCTGTAGAGTTTGAATTTTATGAAATTGCAATAAATGTGATTTTCTGAAGTAGTAATGAATTTTCAAATTTTTCCTAATCTAATAAAAGTTTATTAAAGAGTTCAGGATTGAATGAAAAGTTACTCTTTAAGGATCCCCTCCAGAGACATACACAGATAGTCTGCCTGGAGCAATATGTGTCTGATACATGTTACTGCGTTAAGTAGTCAGGATACAAAAAAGGTAACTAACCATTACAGAGAGAGATCACATTTTTTCTTTTCTAAGGTCACATTGTTGTCAAATAGAATATACTTCCATCAATACGTTTTATTGACATTTTACTACTACCATACTGGGATTAGGTTACTGATTACATTTTTTTAACAAATAATTAGTAACTGTATCGGATTAAATTTTTAAAGTAATCCTCCCAAACCCTGGTCGTAATGTTGGTACCAAAGTGATACTTTTCTGGATTGTATTTAACAAATATGTTGTAGGATCATCCAATTATTATTATTATTATTTCTTAAAGAAGTTTTAAAAAATCAACTTCTACAAATATGAGCTAACTGACCACAACTGAATGAGAGTATAAACAAAGTTAACAGTAGCTGTTTGTCATGGTGCAGTAATTGTAAGTAATGGTAAAAGGTCATTGACCGGCTCCTCCCTGCATCTCCAGTCTGTAAGTATGACTCTACATACTCCATCATGGCCTTTACATTCTCTTGATGCTGATTAACTGTTCTCCAATTTAAGTAGGAGCCCTTGCCCATCGAGCCCCACCTCTTTGGAAGACAGTGTTTTCTGCATATTCTGGATGCAAGCTCTGTTGAGATAATCAAATCCAAGCTGAAAGCACATCTTTCCTCTGTACTGTATGCTATGCCCGCTCAGGATGTTGTGGACCAGTTCTTTTCCGTATCGTCCGGTTTCCCTCTATCAAACCCTCTCCATCCCTCTCTTCCATTTTCCTGCAGCTGGCTCTGGCACATGAATGATGTACCAAAACTGTAACAGACAAAGATGCTGTAATATCATTTCATCCCAGTTGGTAGCCATGGCAGCTATCACAAGTTTTGACATGACAGTGAGCTGCAGGATTCATTCATGCTCCGTCCCTGTCTCCTTCTTCGCTGTGATATCTCCTTTATCTCTGCTCCCCCCTCTCTCTCATCTCCTCGCTGTTGCCTCTGTCTGTCTTTTTCCTGTCCAAGCTAGTGAGCTCCCGGGGGGCAAAGGTCAAAATTTAAACCACCATCTGCCTCCTACAGGAAGTGACTCAAGCCTAAACCTGACTCCAAAGCTATTATATGGTATTGTGTATCTCTCTCTCTGTCTCTGTGTATCTGTCGGATGTACTATTAGAATAGCTTCATTGTATTTAGCAAACGGCTGTGGACTGTGTGCCAGCTTCGACTGCGAGAGAGGACCCTGACGAATGGGCATGGGAGTCCAGTATTTCAACAATTGAGGGTATATACAGTGGATTTATGATGCTGCTACTGTTTGATGTGCCGCACTCATCAATTATTTCATAATTCCATTTTGCAAAAATACACATCATTATAAAACATTCTGGTCAGATATATCTGACACACTCTAGTCTAAACAGGCCATATCAGCGAGCTAACGATAGTTTTGTCAGTTGGTTCAGTTAGCTATGAAACAGTTTCTGTGTGTAAATATTTATTAATAACTAGTCTCTACATAAGAACCAGTCCAGTGCACAGTGTTGAGGTTGTTACTGATTTTACTTGTGTACCACCTGTAGAATGAATCTATTACAATACTTACATTACTTAAGAAAATATCATAAAATATTGTATTATGATATTTTATTTTGTGATAAGGTATCAGTTTTCAAAAACACAGTATCATTTTTTGTGGTCAAACCCCAAACCACTAGATAGCAGAGTTATTGTTCATATGGTGGTATGTTCTTTATAGTATGACAGTTTTCCTAAAATTGGATTTTGTTTTATTTAAATATAACGATATATCGCCTAGCTTACAGTATCGCAATATATCACAGTATATTGAATCATAACCCTGGTATTGTGATACAATAGGGTACCGTATCTCTAGATTCTTGCCAATACACAGCCCTATTTCTGTGGCACTTTGCAACATTGTCTGAGATCACATAAAATGAACTGCATTTAATGAGCTAACAAACAAACTCACTTGAGTCGCTCAATCACCAAACTATGGCTTTATTATTATTATTATTATTATTATTATTATTTCCCATTAAGCAGATCAGGGTTCCATGCATCCTGGAAAACCCAGACATTTAGAGACTACTTTTCCAGTCATGGAAACAGCTGGAAATTGTTTGAAATTATCAAATATCCAGGAAATGACCACTGCTGTGCTGGAAAATGTTAATTGCATTTTAACCTGTGCTGTGGCCAAATTATTGTTACGGCTGGAGAAAAGCTGTAATCAATAGACCTTTTTCACTGCAGCCATTTTGCCGTGAAATAGTAAAGTAAAGACAGGTGTTACCAATGATACTAAGTAAGGTTACATTGCATACAGGTCAAACAGAGTGAGGGGGTGTGTTGGCTCACTGGAAATGCTCTGCTACACTAAACAGAATAGAGCCTGTGAAAAAGGCCTATTCGCAAAGTGGAAAAATCAGCCAAGAACAGATATGGCCAGCAAGCTACGATATTGAGCGAACACAGTGGCCCATAAATGATGCTGTCAAAATATTGTATTGTCATGTATATATATTATTTATCTATATTTTTTTTAAAAGTACTTTATTCTTGTATGATTTTTGTGTGATTTATATATTTATCTTTTAATGTATTTTTTGTGTGATTGTATATTTTAAGCACCATTGCACCAAGACAAATTCCTCGTATGTGTAAAAACCTACCTGGCAATAAATCTCATTCTGATTCTGATTCTGATTCTATGTGTGTATTGTCCAAAAAAAACTCCTGAAAAACCATTTCTTAAAAAGTTTCTTAAAAAGAACCCTGGCAGAGAATGAAGAACTTATGTAACACAAGTAACAACATAATTGTTTGATTAATAACTGTAATGTGATTATTGAATTTAGGAACAGCAACATGTTACATTACTATGTTACCGACAAATGTAATGTTATTAAAGTAATCTGTTACACAACATTGGTTGTGTAACCCTTTTTTAATATAGGGATGCCTAAATCGCCACTTAGTTAAAATGTACATGATAAGTCAGCAAAATCTGGATTTACATCTACCATAATCACAAAAAGCAACATTTCAGTGAGACAGGACATGAGAATAGATAAGTAATATTTTTATTTTTATTTATTTATTTTTATAGAAGCCTATTTCCGACAAAGTGAAGATTCTCAAAATAATGACTTTGTGATACTAAGTCAATACTAATTCAAAATATTGATAAGTTTCTCATTATTTTGAGATTCTAAGTCAAATTTTTTTAAGGTTTGTCATTATAATGACTTACAGCATCTTTTTCTTTTTTTGTCACATTGGCAGAAATGGGCTTCCATACATTTCAGTGTGTTACAGCTCTGCACTAGTTAACCAGGACTAATGTCTTACACTTGCCCACTCTTCTGATCCTGACTAAGGTTCATGGCAGTTCTTCCTTTGTAGTTGAATAGTGGCTTCACATGTAGCGTGTAAAGGCATCTAACTCAGTGACCTTGTTACAGAGCCTGGAGGCAATACACTCACTCACACACACTCACACACACACACATATACACACATCCACAACTTGGAGTCATGTTGCCTTATGTCATCTCCAATCATCCGGTTCTCCTAATGTGTTTTTCTTTTTTTTTCCTCCACCAAACATCTCTCCCTCCTCCACTGTCTCCTTGTATCATTTCTTTTCTGTCAGGTTTTACTGGGTTTTTTCTCTCCAGCCTCTGGTTATCACATTTTTTCACTGCTTGTGAGCATTGTTCTGATTCTCACACATTTCTCTATACCCTCTTCAGTAGCTTTGATATAGAAATTACAGATGTTAAATTGGTTCATAACACACAGTACACTGCAATTTGATGATGATCCAACATCTTTATTTATGTCTTTATCTCTTTGATAATACAGTTCCTATCAGAAAAAGCACAATTATTTTACAGACAACCCGTTTACTGGACAGATGCAAACACAGATGATCAAGATAGCGCTTCAGGAAGCGTGGCAATGCATGGACACGGTTGTCATTCATCGACCGGCGAGTTGACAGCATCACCAACCCACCGACAGCGATGAATGTGAACCGGAAACCTGCAATGGTAGAGGACTATTCCACATGGGGATCTTCCCAGTAAGGGGACGTAGATAAGGAAGGAGTGACAGATGGATAAGTGGACCCGCTGAGCTCAAAATGTAGGAAGCTGCCAACGCGACATACGTGTACATGTGATTGTATGTACTGTATGTGGTGTTGAACAGACAAATGTTTAACCTTTTACCTGCTGGGATTTAATGTAATACAGTATGATATGTAAGTCTTTTCACAGCACTTAAGTACAACATAATTGAACATAGCCACTGCTAGCAAGCTATACAATTAGCTGTTATGAACTTTAAGAGAAAAGAAAGAAAAACAGACTTTTATAATAGCTGTAGACTACCTGGAGGCACAGTAAGACTATACAGAACATACTGTACTGTGCTGGTTAGCGCAATGGAGCCGAAGTCCTTCCACACTTCTTGGCTAGCTTCTGTTCCTCCAACGTTAGCTTGTATTGCTCTACACCATCCTGAAAAGCTGAAACAGGTTTCTGTGGATTCCTGTCAATATTTCAACCTACATGTCAAAGTGTGAGCTAACATTTACTGTTCTGGTCATTATGTCATTTTAACAAACGAAAAGAACAACTATTTTGTTAGCATTCAACAGTAAAACAGTAAAATAAACGCAATAAACACTCATTCAAAATGGGGGCATATTCTCTTGTCACAATGAGGAAAGCCTTCTTATTATGAAAATAATTTCTAGCTTGTGTAACTTGATAGCTTTGTTACAGCAATAAGGAACGGGGCAAGAAGTCTGTGTCTGTGTTTTTGGTAATGGTGATATTGTAAC